TTAAATGGCCTACCTATGCTGAATACACCATAAAATAATAAATACAAGAAGAAGTGTCAAGTCAATGTTAAATTATGGAAACAGCGTGGCTGCCTGGGTAACTAATTTTCAGATATGGCGGCTGGGACATTTGACATGACATAGACATGACAATTTCAATTTTATGAAATTTATTTCCGTTTCCGGTTTTTAATGGCGGGCTCTTCAGGAGGTTTAAATGAGGGTTAATATACTTTTTACTCTTTCTGGGAGTAAATAATACAACAAAATTACTCAAAAATATTTATTTGGAATTTAGAACAATGTAAATATGCAAATCAACACAATTAAAGAGCTATAAACACATAAACTACTGTATCAATATCAAATATTTAAATAACATCAGAGATGCTGTGTTAAAGTGAATTAGTAAAATAACAGTAACAGACTTACAGAAACTTGAAGATAAATAAATGTTTTCACAACTTCTCGGGCGTAAAACTAAATAACTGGAAGCAGGAAAAAGACAACAGGAACCCACGCAAAACCTGGAATCAAAAAAATATATAAAAAAACATAAATATAGGTACATAAGATTTTTATGAATTAAATCAAACAGGACTTGAATAAAAATAAAATGAATAAAAAATATGATACATATACATCTAATACCTAATTTGTATTTTAAAAATAATCTACATACATAGATTTATAGCATTATTGCTATGAAAATACATAATAGATACATATGTGATTAATTAGGCATTTCTGTTCATCTTGTAGATAATTAATGTAGGCTAATAATAGTTCAATAATCATAATTTACCTTGTATAGCTTGCTTTCAATTGCTCAAAATCACCGATCAGTCTTTAAAGTAGAGATACGGAAAAATCCTTGGTAAAGAATATCCCAAGATCCTTGGGTCTAAAGCTAAAAAAATATAAAAACAGTTAGTATATTACCTATTTTTACATATAATATGGCCCATACCTACTACACGCAGAAACGTCGATTTCATCATTTTCTTCATGTAATTAATATCATATATACTTTATTAAAGTGTTAACAAGGAACTTTATAACAAAAAACATCTTTGTACTTATAAATTTCAGCCGAAATATCATAAACAAACTTCCAATCAAATCTAAACGACAAAAATTAAAATGGCGCCCGACCTTGCCAGAGGCCTCGGTAGTTGACACATGGCTAACACACAGACAAAAGAAGAGGACGCCGACGTGCATAAAAATGTTCCGTAACAGAAATTGACAGAAATCATATAGAAATATTCAGATTTTTGTCTAGGACAGTCTAGAAGGCCATGCTTTCTGCCTGGGTAGGACCGCGCCAGAACCATAGATAAAAGAAAATAATATTCTATTAAGATAGATATGAAACTTAATACTAAAATTTTGGGTCAAAGCGCCCCTCCGTGTTCTTAGTAGAGACTACGTTTAACCCAGCGACTTCGCCTTATCTGCTGTAAATATTTTTTGTTTATATTTGATTTCAAAGGATTTAGTTTTAAAGTTACACTGATATATTAGTATATCAGAGTAACTTTAATAAAACATAAGAATATATATTTTAACAGTTTATTAAATATAAATTTTGACTACAAGGTAGAAAGTAAATCACAATATTTGATAAAACTTATAAGTATACCATTTTTACAGTTAATAAATAATAAAACTATTTCTGACTATGATATTTAAAAGTTAGATAGATAGAATATTAAAAAACATACCGGTATTTGCAGATGCAGACCCAAATTCAATAAAAACCAAAATTTTTCCTGCGAAAATCGTTTTTTTTTCACAGAAAAGGTATTTTTTCATTTATCAACAATCATTGTCAAGTTGACAATATACAGGGTGTTTTCTAATTAGTCTAAAAAATTGTGGTGTGGTTGCTCATGTGTTCTTCAAACAATTTTTATATAACCATTGGGTCTAAAGTACTTCCTTTCTGATCTACAGGGTGTTAAAAATTTTAAAAAAATCGATATTTTGCGTAACATAAATGGGTAAACTACTGCTTTTTTAAAAAAATATATTTTTTTCTTGACTGGTCATCCTTTTTCAACAAAATTGATCTTTTGAGTTTTTCTTGTTCATCAAACGGTTGCCGAGAAAAAAATAAATATACTTATTAAGAGCCCGCCTTAAGTCGTTTTCTAACGATTTTTATCTTTTAGATTAATTAGGAAACACCCTCTATATGCATATTACAGGCAACCAAATAAACTAGTAACCTCTAAAAATTATTTTTCTTACCACTAGCGACATACCGTGTTTTTAGTGAGTACTAAATTATTTTATCAAAATTTCACCATATAAGTTTCCAGGCAATGGCCAGAACTGTTTCCAATTTTCCGGTTTACTGTCACCCCCCTGACACTGCGAAATTTGAACAATTTTGGACAAGCCTATTTCGAGTAATTTAAGATAAACAGCATTTTTAGATTAAAACTGAAGAGGTAACAATTAATGCAAAACCAGGCAAATGCCACAACATACCTTAAAAAATTCCGAAAAGTGTTTAAACCGTCCATTTTCAAAGTAATCATTGCTATCTTGTGAGTTTAATTTAAGTTTTATTTACTCGAACCCGTGATAATTGTGAAAAAGTTGCATTAAAAACTTAAAAAGCTGTGCTGTGCTGTGAACAACTGCAAAAACCATCGTCGATTGTGGCATAACGTCGGTTCCCAATGTTTCATAGGTATTTCATATATGTCCTTATATAAAATAAAGTTTCTTGTATACAACACACTGTATTTTATTTATAAAATTAAAAGAAAATAATAATAAATTTGAATAAATGATATTTGGCAATATAATTCCGGAAAAAGCCGAACCGCTCCGAAATTTTCAAAAGTTTTGGATCGCAACCGTTGCAAGAATAGCGCCAAATAGTGTTTACATTGTCCTTATGGGCACTTTCCAATCTAATCTTGTTTCATTTATCTTTGCATAAACGCAGCGTTAAGTTTTTTCATATTTCGAAGAAGTTTTAAATTACAAAAATCCTTTTCGAGTACAATAACTGTAGGTATCATAACGTAGTAGACATCCAAATAAATTGCATTTAATAATGAACGCGTTTGCTTTTTATTGCTTTTAAACCAATTTTAGTATAACTATTTTTACGCTTAAATTTAGCAAATCTTTTTGAAAAAAAGGAACTTTATGTTCTAAAAGTATAATTTAATAGAAATCCAATTTCTTTCAATTACTTTACTTAATAATAAGATGATAAGAAATGTTCTTATGCGGCGGCTTAAGTAATGTAACTACAGTAGTTTGAAAAATAAAGCGTACTATTGCGTTCTTCGTCGCCTTCTGGCACTTCTTGATGATTTTGTTACTTAAATGAATAATATTTATGGTCCTTTTAAAGTTCTTGGTACCGTACTTTCATGTTTTTTACACTTTCTCCTATGCTTCTTATATTAATATTCTTCTTTTTCTTATATTAAAATTCTAGTTTTTCCTAAATTTTATTCCAACACTTCTTACAATTTGATGTATTTCATTTTTTCTGTCATAACTACCATAGTAATAAGCTTGACGGAATCGCTCCAATAGTATTTAAAGTGAATTCTCAGACAATATCAGTATAAGGTCAGTATTTCTGATACCACTACATTGGGCGAGTCTTTTGCGAGTGTCCCCATTCTGGAGTGACTCATCATCATTCAGTCTATAACTCATCATAATATATAGGGATTTTCCTCTTGTAGAGGGGACAGAGTATTTTCCATCCTCCTCTGACAACAGATGTTCTCCGAGGAGTGGACCTTTTCACTGTTGGGATTTGGCCCTCTGTGTCCTTCACAGTCGAGGAACTAGTCTCCGGCTAGAGTATATGTCTCCATTTTCTCCACCTCTTTAACTTGGTCTCTCCTTAGACCCGATACAGGTGTTAGCCGGGGTCTGTAATAGAGGATATATCTCTCTTTCTCCATTGCCTCCTTGGATTTGAGGTCAATTCCTATTGTGAGGACCTGACCATGGCCCTCCCCCTTCGAGTTGATGACTCTCCCACTCGATGTCCTTGCAAACTCGAGTTCCAGCAAAGCTGGCCTGCTTGCCTCTCGGTGTTGGACGACTCTCCATTCTGGCTTTTTCTCTCCTTGCCAAAGCAGAAGTGAGAGATTCTCACTCTCTATCTTGACCTTTTGGTAGAGATGCGCCAGGCTGTTTCTTGGTTCCTTTACTCTCCCCTTTGACTGTTTTTGCTTAAAATTCCTTGAAAAAAAGAATTCTATACTGGTATTTCGCCACTGCAAGAAAATCTACAAAATAAAATAGTTATTTTTTGTAAACACTTCTGCGTTAATCCAAACGGAAACTACTGGTCAGAAGTTAGGTTGACAGATATAAAAATTTGTCTAGCAAACAAAAAAATGCTTAACGTTTCGGAAAGTTTATCTCTTTCCGCCGTCGCGTCGGAAGCAAAAAAATACAAAGAAAAAAAAATAAAGAAAAAAACTGTTTAAAATATTTAAATTCAACTATTCAAGAACACTTTAGTTTTTTAAAACAGATACGTCTACAAAAACTGTTGATGTTATGTTAAAATGACATTATATCAAGTTAAACTTCAAAATTAACAATTGCTACTTGATAACAATTACTTAATAAGGTAAAACCAAAAAACCCCAAACTTTCTGTATGATTGTTTTTAATTTTTAGGTATGTTATGTTTATTTATGTTATGTTCTTTAAAATCAAAGAAGCGATTGCCATACATTACTAACATCTACAGATGCATGAGCAATAAATTTATTTTTATTAGATTATATTGAAATAGCCTCTTTTATTTTTCTTTTAGAGGCTATCGCTTCTTTTTTTATTTCGTTATAATATTGATAAAAAAAAATAATAAAAAAAATACCCATATAGGATTTTTTGGAGACATGAATCCGCCACATACGTATAGATATTTTTTAAAAAAGAATTGATCTGCCACAGAAGAAAAATATATAAGATCTTATTTCTATTTTTCTTTTCAGAAATTCTTTAGTGAGCACACACACTTTTTCATCGAGCATCCCGAAATAAACCAAACGTTCGATTCCTTCCTCGAAAAACTCTACAAAAAATGCCTTCTTTACCAGAATCAATTCGAAACCAGATGGATCAAAGACGCGACAGACTTTGACGAATTCCTAGAACAAGTTATATCGTTCTACGAGAACTACAACATAATTTACCTCATAGAATATCAAACGAAGTCTTTAAAGGAACTGGATAATTGGTACATGGAGAACGTGAAGAAGAGCTTAAAAGACAAAAAAGAAGAAGTGGAGAACCTTTATGCGAATCTGCACAACAAACTGATGCCGTTGCATGGACATCCGAACAATAAAAAACTAATGGACAAACTAAATGAAGAAGCGGAACTTGTCCATCAGAAATCTTTGGAAATTATAAAGGATTCCAAGACGCCTTATTTGGTAATATCTAGATCTCTTAAACAATATACAAACAATTAATCGGCTATTACGACCCCCTCCCCCCCGCCCCCCGTTCATTAGAACGAATTACACATTTTGCGTATTACCGTATAAATATTTTTTTTTCAAACGTATTCACAAAAGTATTAATTTTTACGACGCGATTGACAATATAAAAGTCATTTTAACATGAAGTGCCTATGCATAAAAGTACGAAAATATATTCTTAAATCTCTGATTAAAATTACATAAACTGTCAAATATATAAATAGTCTCGATATATGATAATTACTTACCAAGAAATTACTTTTAAATATTTTTACATTATTTAGAACGTTTGAAATTATTGAAAAAAAATAGCATGTCCTATTCGGTGTAAAAATGCCTTTTTGTGCCTCAGCTGTATTGTCGTCAGACATTACGATAGATAAAAGAAAATAATCTACTATTAAGATAGATATGAAACTTAATAGTAAAATTTTGGGTCAAAGCGCCCCTCCGTGTTTTTAGTAGAGACTACGTTTAACCCAGCGCCTTCGCCTTTTCTGCTGTAAATGTTTTTTATGTTTATATTTGAATTCAAAGGATTTATTTTTAAAGTTACACTGATATATTAGTATATCAGAGTAACTTTAATAAAACATAAGAATATATATATTGTACAGTTTATTTTTTTATTTATTTTACAGTTTCATGTAAATGATCGTAAGTCGACTGGTTGTCTAATGAATAGACCGAGATTTATAGATTTTAAAGCGAACGAAAAAAAAAATCATACGATATATTTTTCTTTTATCTAAGATACATACCTTATCGTCTTTTGGAAACACATGCATTTTTGCAGTTTTGTTAGTTTCTTTGCAAGATGCAACACAAAAAAACACCATTTTTACAGTTAAGAAATAATAAAACTATTTCTGACTATGATATTTAAAATTTAGATAGATAGAAAATTAAAAAACAAACCAGTATTTGCAGACGCAGGCCCAAATTCAATAAAAATCAAAATTTTTCCTGCGAAAATCAGGCTTTTTTCACCGAAAACGTATTTTTTGATTTATCAGCAATCATTGTCAAGTTGACAATATACAAGGTGTTTTCGAATTGGTCTAAAAAAATTGTGGTGTGATTCCTCATGTGTTCTTAAAACAATTTTTTTATAACCATTAGGTCTAAAGTACTTCCTTCCTGATCTACAGGGTGTTAAAAATTTTAAAAAATCGATTTTTTTGCTTAACATAAATGGTACACCACTGCTTTTTTAAAGAAAATATATTTTTTTCTTGACTGGCCATCCTTTTTCAACAAAATTGATCTTTTGAGTTTTTCTTGTTCATCAAACGGTTGTCGAGAAAAAAATAAATATACTTATTAAGAGCCCGCCTTAATCCGTTTTCTAACGATTTTTTATTTTTTAGATTAATTAGGAAACACCCTATATATGCATATCACAGGCAACCAAATAAACTAGTAACCTCTAAAAATTATTTTTCCTACCACTAGCGACACACCGTGTTTTTAGTATGTACTAAATTATTTTATCAACATTTCACCATATAAGTTTCCAGGCAATGGACATTACAGCCATTGCCTGGAAACAATTTGCTAAAGTTTTCGGAATACAGTTCGGACCACCCTGTATAAAATTGGTATAAAATGGAACATAAAATAGATAATAATAAGATAATAATTACTTAATTTTAGTTATTACCTATATTATAAACGTTTGCGTACCCACGCTAATAGTACATACATAATTATAATATTTATTTTTTAAACAAACCGTATTGTAAGCAATGAATCAATCCTCACGATTCTTTGAACGAACGAGTCGCATTGTGATCCATTTCAATTCTTACGACTCGTTCTTTCAAATTTTATGGATTCGAGCTGGCCACAATTCAGTTGAACGAACCGTATTCTAAGTGGTGTATCGAATCTGGCGATTCAATTTTAATACTCGTTCAAATGAACGACTCGTTCAATCTTTGCTCGCCTCTAGTACTAGTAGGATGAAATATTTTACAAAATCAAATTATTTCCATAAGAATATTTTCGATATTTTTATTAGGAAGCCATCGACGAGTTTTTCAATAAAAAAATTATCCAGTTTCAACTGTTGAAGAACTCCATAAATGAAAACGGTGATCGAATTTCGACTGTAAAAGAGATCAAAATCGACTTGCGTTTGTCTATTCCGAATAAATTAGATCTGCTAAGAAGTTTCGTCAGTTTCTTGGAGATGAACAATGAAAAGGATGAAGGTTAGATAAACTGTATACCTATACAGGGTCCGGCAATAGTGCGTCGGGCATCTGTAGCTCCTAGAATAAAAAACTTGAGAATTTTGTTTAAGTGCAGACCTAAAGTATGTACTAGGATGTAATTCCGGAAAATATTTTAACTTCTATAGGGTGGCTCAAAAAAGTGTGAGTGGATCTGGATGACTTTTTTTAAATGGGACACCCTGTATATTATTGCATTTTTGGCTTCCTTTCAGATCACTTTACATAATCCTAAGATATGAGTAAATCTATTTCGATAATTTCAGAGAAATTAATAAATAAATAAAAATATTATATATTTTTCAGCCTTTCTTAAAAAATTATTAATAATACAAGAACTGTCCTGAAATCAAAACTGTATTAGATATTTACTCTAGATGATCTGTACTTACTTTGCTATAAATGTGGAAATCGTAAATTTTTTAAAATATACAATAATTTTTCTTTGTTTTTTTAAATGGGACACCCTGTATATTATTTTTTCAATAGATGGAGAATTAAAAAATGAACATTTTTTGCATTTAGAGTATTTCATAATTTTTAACGATTTCGCAGATATTCCCGGTTTTGTATTTCATATGGCATTTTCCACAGTAAATTTTTATCAAAGCCACCCAATGATTTTTCCTTGCGTGTATTCGAAAAACTATTAAAAATTTTCAAATACTTTAAATACAAAAAATGTTTATTTTTTAATTCTCCATCAAATAAAAAAATAATATACAGGATGTTCCATTTAAAAAAAAACGAAGTAAAATTATTATATATTTTTGAAAGTCTGGCGTAAAATATTGAACATCCTGTATGATTTACGATTACCATATTTATAGCAAAGTAAGAACAGACCATCTAAAGTAAATATCTAATATAGTTTTGATTTCAGAACAGTTCTTGTATTTTTAATATTTTTTTTAAGAAGGGTTGAAAAATATATATTTTTGATTTATTTTTCAATATCTCTGAAACTATTGAAATAGATTTACTCATATCGTAGGATTATGTAAAGTGATCTAAAAAGAAGCCAAAAATGCAATAATATACAGGGTGTTCCATTTAAAAAAGTCATCCAGATCCACTAACACTTTTTTGAGCTACCCTATAAAAGTTAAAATATTTTCCGGCAATACATCCTGGTACAGCTGGTTCCAATAAAATTGAATACGATTTAAAACATAATTTTATTGTTTCGGGCAGTATATTCTATGATACCAGTCCCCCATTTCTCTACTCATGTCATGCTGACGTTCTAAAAAAATTATTTGCCACTTTGTCAAAAGCAAAGCTGTTTTATACAATTTCACAATAACCTTAACATGTCAAAATACTTGACACATAAATATACACTGCCCAAATATTCGAAAAAAATGTGTAAAGAGTTGTATTCATTTTTTTTTTTGGAACCAGCTGTACATACTTTAGGTTTGCACTTAAACAAAATTCTCAAGTTTTTTATTCTAGGAGCTACAGATGCGCGACGCATTATTGCCGGACCCTGTATAAAAATATATATGATTATTCTTTTAGGATTGTTGCCCCAATGTCAATCATTTCTCAACCTCTTCGATAACGATATATCTAAAAGGGATTCACGCGAAAAAATTCAATTTGCCGAAATGAAGTCCCTATCCGCAGACACCTATGATTATGACGAATATATACTATTAAACTGTGCAAACACATACGACTTTGTTTGGGAAGTGAGCACGCTTTTGAACAAGAGACTTCAAGAAGTTGAAAAGCAAGACAATGATGCACTTATAAGTACCTTCGAGGACGAATGGAAGTGTGCTGTCGACAAAGTGCTTAGTTTATATCAAGTCAGATATGATAAACGAAAATAAATTATGTAATATCTTTAAACCACTGTCCTTTTTATCATATTTGCAAATATAAAAATAAAAGTTTGCAAGTAGAACTAGGGATTTTCGGCCCTAAAATTTCAGTACCGGTATACTTACAACCTGTATACTGGTACCAACAATTAGACCAAGAGGGTCGATATACCGGAATATTGGATGGGCCGAAATGCGACGAAATTTATCAATTAATCGGCGTTTAACAATAAAGATAAAATGAAAATAAAATTGCTAAATAATATTTCATACAAATACGAACCTAACGCAGTATATTTTTTATATAATTTTAAAAACACACAATCATGCTTGCGCAATTATTGTCACCCATAAACTTAAATAAAATATAGACTACACTATTTACATCTAAACGCGGTCAAACAATCATTTTTGTACACATGTTTACTTCTGGGTACAGTTGACCGCAGCCGATCGAGTCTTCTTTCTCCAGCCTATGTTGTCACGTCTTTAATATTATCAATATATTTTTTCTTATTACGCACATATATTGAGATATTAATACTACATTTTTATAAAGTAGGTTTTAATATTCCATAGATGTATTAAAAAATCCTTATACTACTAAATTATAAGTCGGATACTATTTAAAAAGGATAAGTTCTTTACAATATGGCATAACACCGATTAGACGCCAGGTCGCTTATTCCTATTCATTCTTTATTATCTTGTAGTACGCGTAGCACGTGTGCAGTAAAGCTTTGATGCCGATATGTCCCCGGCTGTATTAACGCATTTTCTTAGTTTGTACTCCTTAAGTGTTTATTTTATTTACTTTTTCTATTTAAAAACTATAAAATATGGTTCGCCAGTGCCAAATTTGCAAGAAATTTCACTTAAATAAACCATTTAAGTCTTGAAACGACTTTCGACCGGTAGGCAACTGTCAATTTACCAATTGGGATTCAGTGGCGTTGTTTTAGAAAGGCGCTTATTTAGATAATATTTTAGTAAAATGTAAAATCTGATTTTTTTCTATTACACAATCATTTATATAAAGATTTTTGTAACAAAATCATAATTATAACCCTGTTATACATAATAGATAAATTATATTAGGCATCGGTTAAAAAATGAATAATGTTTTTATTGAAAATATATTCGGGTTTATTCTAAAACTATCTTCAGAATCTAAAATAACATACAAGACTTTTAAAATGATATTACATTATGAAACAATATTTTGTAATACCCCGGGTGCGTCTCAAAAGTGGCTCACCCCTATAACTTTTTTATTTTTCAGATAAAAAAAAACAGATTTGTATGTTAGTATATGACATAAATTATGATTGATTGACGAATTCAATTATTTTTGGTCTCTTCCTGTTTCACCGGAAATGACTACAACTTTTGAAATTTAAATGGCATCCTCGGTATATTGCTACTTTGTTCGATAGAAAATGACACTCTGAATAGAATGACATATCATATCTCAACTTTTGACATTGTAGCTTAAAAACAAATCGTATTTTAAATTTCAATCCAGAGTGTCATGGCGGTGTTAAAAACACTATGTTTTAATCAAGGAGCCTTGGAAAAATAGTTTTGATCGTCTAATGTTTTTCGTGTCTTGTCTAGGCCGGTTTAAAGATGCACAAGTCCTATTTTTAATCATATTTCAATTTTTTCAAATGGAACAAGGGCGACTCATTAGCATATTTGTAAAAAGCATTTTTTTATGAATATATTGATACCACACACTTGGTATTTCGAGTCAAATTATCGTTATGATAATGGCGTGTTACAATTTCAATTAAACCACATGCGAAAATGTCAAAAGTTGACATATGATATGTCATTCTATTCAGAGTGTCATTTTCTATCGAATAAAGTAGAAATATACCGAGAGTGCCATTTAAAAATCAGAAGTTAATAGTAATTTCCGGTGAAACAGGAAGTGACCAAAAAAATTGAATGCGTCAATCAATCCTAATTTATGTCATATACTAACATACCAAATCTTGTTTTTTTATTTGAAACAATAAAAAATGTATGGGGATGAGCCACTTTTGGGACGCACCCGGTATAATAAAGACAGTACCGAGTTAAATAAATGTAATTTTCCTAACGTTTACTTAACTCCTTTCGTTAGAACCTAAAACAATAACAAGACATTGACCGCATTTTTCGGCTATTTATGAATGAGATGCTCAGTCTATATTTTATTTTAGTCTATGTTGTCACTAGTCATTTCATTAATTAAACATTAATATCCCTTTAAAGCGGTTTTCCAGTATCTTTTGAACCATATTTTTTGGTGCAGATTTTCTTGTAATTGATTTTCCGGTACCGGTACCAATACCGGTTTTGTAAAGGAAGATAGCAAACTACAAAAGGTAACAAAATATTTCTGGAATACCTGTCCTGGATACCGGTACACCGGAGGGCCGAAAGTGCCTAAGTACAACCCCTTAAATACAAGCAAATTGCTGCATTGATTCGACGCTTTACTTCATTTGGCGGACGTTCTTGGTGCGGCAATATTTTTGTTCGTATATTTAATACTTTCACTTTTTTATTTTCAGAACTTTGTATTAAACAAAAAATATCAAATTATCCTGTAGACACTTACAAAAACACAACACATAAAGAAAGAAAACAGACGCAAAGTCACGGTCTCACACATAAAAGGGGTGGGAATAACAGAGGCACGTTTACCACAGACCACATTTACATATTAGCTGAAAACTACTCTTTTTATCACATTTCCTTCAATCGACGTAGTACATATTTAAAAAAGACACTCAAAATTATGTTACAATAGGTCTTTTATTCTCAAAACTCAATGCATACTGAATATACAAAACCTAGCCTAGCGTTCTACACCAAAGAAGAACGATAAAAGAAACATACAGTAATCATATCTGCTTAAAACGTTACATTCTATTTATACATATAATCTAAAAAATTATGTGTTTTTAAAAACATACAAAACTCTTATAAAAACGAAAAAAGGCATTAACCCTGCAACGAGACGAACTGCTGGAATATTTCTAAAATATGCGGATCCAAATCCTGCGTAAACAGCAAAGTCTCCAATGTCGAACTGTACTTTTGTACTTGCTCTTGGTGCTACAAACGAAATAAATGTATTAGATGAGAGAACTTTCAGTATAAATCCGCGTTGCAACGGAAAAATCACAAATAAAATCAAGTAACTTACAGCTAGAAATACTTGCTGCAGTCTACCAATCGTCCATTTGTACCAATGGGTGTTATAATCGCGACCATCGGTATCGCAACGCACAAGATGCTCGGAAAGGATCATAATGAATCTTTGGAATATGATAAGAAACAGATTCTTCTGGTCAGCTTGGGCTGCTTCCAATTTTTCCTCCATTCTCTCGACCTGAAAAACAGCATCAATACAATTTCTGTAAAAAAATAAAGAATAATTTGCGAACTAGTCACTGAAAAACGCTAACACTAAACACATCTTAATAAGTTAAGAAAACCTAATGCCACTTATGCGAAATAACAGTACGAATAAATCACTATTTTCATATTTCATATTAATAAAAATATCAAATTATGGCCACTAATAATTCTTGGCTAATAAGAATGGCTTCTCACTGTACAGTGTGGTCCAATGATAAGGAGCTCCGGCTGTAGCTCGGAAACCGTTATGCGAACTTACGAAAATAAAAGATATTTATAGGTATATTGGCCAAGAGAGATAAAATCTAATGTTTTCATTTTTTTTGGTGTTGTCCCACGTTGGGCACCAAAATTAAGTGCATAGTGTTTTTATTCCTACGCCTGCAAATGGTTACTTTTCGCCAGCAGAGCGGTGGATTCGTCAATATTTTTAGCCATACATATTATTTTTATAAACAGAATATATATAAGAATTTTTAAGAATGTCAATTATAAACTTGTGTATAGTGCTAATAATAAATTACAATTATTAGGTAACTCCAGAGATAAAACACCTCCACTGGAAAGGTCGGGTATTTATGAAATTTCATGTAAAGATTGTAATCAGAAATATGTTGGGCAAACTAGAAGATCAATATTAACTAGATTTAAAGAACATTATGGCTCAGATTGGTAGGCCGGATAAATCTTGCGTTGCCGAATATATTGTTCATAAAGAACATTGTATAGATATTAATCTATAATATTTATACTATATAATTAATAAATGTAAAGTCAATATTAATAATTGCTCTAGTTTCGGTAATTATTACGCTCGGTTGGTTTTGACTCGCTTGGCTATTTTTGGCACGCCTACTCGGAGCCAACTGAGCGAGTATATAAACGCTCAATTTGTAGATATTAGTTTAGTTTTATTCATCTGCTGATGCACGCATCCAGTGTAAAAGTAAAAGTGTTTTGATGTATTGTGGTGATTTAGTTTTATTTTGCTTTTGCTCCTACATATTCTTACTAATTCTTAAAACTTACATGGGCATCATACACAAAAAAACCAAACCAAAAACAGCTGTAGTTATAAGACGAGTATATCTGGTTAGGAATTAATTAATAATTAACATCATTATATTTTACAATTTTTTAACATTAAAGTATAAAGTTAGTTGTTTGGCCGCAGTGGAGGGTCCCACGCGACCCACTCTTAGTGAATACAAATAGATGTTTGTCAAATGAAAAATTATATTAGATGATAAAATTTTTGAAATTGAAAAAATATATCGCTATGTTTATTTAATAAAAATGATAAATAAATGAATGAATATTACTTTATACATTCATACCTAGATGTTATTTTTATAAAGTCATCACTAAGATGGATAAATTCTAGAATTTATGAGGTGCAATGTTTAGTGTATAAAAGTTAAGCATATCATTTAATTTTTTTAGAAACCTAGCAAAATTTTGAAAATTCCCACAACGCCATCTAGTTAACACTCTCAAAGTTAGTCGTTTATTGTACCGTTTATGTCTACAAAAGTAGAGCAAAAAAGACTTATTCAACTAAAAAATAGTAGAAAGAATGTTTGACCGATTCCAGAACTTTATTTTTGAAAATAAACAAAACTGATTTGAGGAAAAAAGTCAACTTAACTATTTGAAGAAATTTAAGAGAAAATTAGCACATAATAAAATTTTCACTCTGGTGTTTCTGTGGCGTTTCCTAGCGGTCGATATTCAAATTCGCCGAAAATGATTTACAACAATTTCTGTATAAAATGTGTAAAATTCGACAGTTCAATTGATTATTTTTCAATAAATACAAAAATGTCTTGCATCAATAGTCCTTAGTACTTACCATTTCTTCAGTAGGTTTATCTGCATTGTCCTGTTTCTTTTTCTCGTCATCCTCACTCTCGCTTTCGCTAGATTCTTCCGCTCTAGCTAACTTTTCTCTAGCCTCTGTCAGCTCTGCAGCTAACTTAATCACGTGTTTATTCATCTGAAAAACCAAACATATAATAACGTACACGTAAGTATTAAAAAAACATCAAACAAAATGTATACCTTCTTAATTGTTAAATGTAGAATTTCCCACAGGTACATCTTGGTAAATTCTGAGGTCATTTCCTTGGAAAATATCCAATTTGCTACAGCAGAACACTCCACGATCTGCGTCTTTAACATTTTGTCGACGAGCACGACCATCATCTGTTGGTGGGTACTCCAAAGTTCGAACATATTTCTCAGGATGCATATTTGGGCTTCTTCCGAATCAGCTAATATCTAAAATAATAAATAAATATATACTATTCTTATATATAGAGTAATAAAACTATAGCAGTAAACTGAAGTATTTTCTCTAATTTTTTAATGTGTTCTGTCAAAACCGTCCCTCACCTCGTTGGGAAGATTCTAGTAGTACAGTGATCATTCTGTATTATCTTCTATAATATAAATTTATAAAGAAACCAAATATAACCAAGGAAATTATGTCAAAAATAATGGGAGGAAATAGAAGTGTAAACGCATTACAGAGAATTATTAAGAGCAAGAACTAAAAGTTTGAAATTCAGAATATACCAAACAATTATACGACCAATAGTACAACATGATCGAAAAAAACGGCGTCAGCGGTGGCTATGAAATGAAGATCGCTGTCAGTTTATATGTAAAATTATATAGGGAATGTCATCGATCATCATTTCCAAACCAACTGGACGCCGTTTTTTTTTAGATCATACGGTACAATAAATAGTGCGTCGGGCATCTGTAGCTCCTAGAATAAAAAACTTGGGAATTTTGTTCAAGTGCAAACCTAAAGTGTGTACTAAGGTGGCTAAAAAAAGGGTGAGTGGATCGGAATGACTTTTTTAATGGAATACCCTGTATATTATTGCATTTTTAGCTTACTTTCAGATCGCCTTAAAATAGTAATAAATACATAAAAATAATTTTTTTCAGTCTTTCTTAAAAAAAATATTACAAATACAAGAACTGTCCTGAAATCAAAACTATATTAGGTGATTACTTAAACTGTCTATACTTACTTTGCTATAAATATCGTAATGTTAAATCATAGAAAGTGTTCAAAATTATACGCCAAACTTTCTAAAATATAAAACAATTTTTGTTGTTGTTTTTTTTTAATGGAACACTCTGTATATTATTTTTTTATTAGATGGAGAATTAAAAAGTGAACGTTTTTTTCTATTTAGAGTATTTTAAAATTCTTATCAGTTTCGTAGATACTCGCGGTATTATTTCATATGCCTCTTTCAACTGAAAATACAGGAGAAAAATCATTAGGTGGCATCATTAAAAGTTTGCTGTGAAAGATGCCATGTGAAATAAAAAACCGCGAATATCTGCGAAACCGTTAAAAATTTTGAAATACTCTAAATAGAAAAAATGTCCATTTTTTAATTCTTTATTAAAAAACAATATACTTGTAGTTTGGACAATTTTTGTATTTTTAATATTTTATTTTAAGAAAGGTTGAAAAATATATATTTTTTATTTATTTATTAATATCTCTGAAACTATCGAAATATATTTACTCATATCTTAGAATTATCTAAAGGGTTCTTAAAGGAAGCCAAAAATGCAATTCCATTTAAAAAAAAATTCCTGAACTGCATCCTAGTACACACTTTTAATTTCCACTTAAAGTTTTTTATTCTAATGGTACGTATACATTGGTGCGCTGCGCCGCGCCGAACGTTGGCCTCGCGTTACTTTTATTGTTTTAACGAGCATCCCGCAATCCATAGAAATCCCGCGAACATTAGTTTAGTCGTTAATCATGTCTCTATCGTCCGAGAAGAACTACGCAATTTTAATTTTGAGTAGTGCGACTCTTTAAACACTCCATTAATAAACAATATTCAAAGAAAAACACAAAAAAGTGAATTTATTCAAAGAAAACACACATAGTCACTGATAAATGCGCGCGGATTGCACAAATGCACACGTACCAATAAAGACAAATCGGTGCGCGCGTGCCGCGCGTTCGCAGCACAGTGCGCCGATGTATACGTGCCATAAGAGTTTCAATATTCTAGGACTTTCAATACAACGGAAAATTCTAGGCTGAGTTCGGGAAAAGAAAATACTAAATTTTCGAGAAAACATGATAAACAGCATATGAACCGGAAGAACAAACGATGAAACTTCGTTCGCGAGTATAACGGGAGTAACAAGAGCACAATATATATATGGCATTATAAAAGATATGACATATTGAAAGAATTGCTGAAACAAGAGTTAAATGATAATAAGACGTAAAATAAATGGAAAGAGAAAGAGGAATAGACCAAGAACCAGAGGAAAAGGGATGTTGAAGAGGACATGACAAGGATAAAAGTTAATGGTGAGTGATGAGAACAAAGACGAAGTATAGAAATAAGTGAAAAAATACGACAACAAAAATGTCAATTTTACCTTAAATACGTAATGAAACTTCGAGATGGCTGCGAAACTGTGAGAGAAACTTTTCGAACCCAAATTGAGAAGCGTCTGAACGAAAACGTCAATTTTCAGAGGGTTGAATCTTCCATCTCCTTCTTCGTCCGATCGGGGGTTAGGGAGATCCTTTAATACTGCCAATACCTCTTCAGGAGTGCATTTCTGGCGGATCGTTACCACTAATTGATGCGCCGCTTGCGTACCAGGAAGATTTACTAGAAAAATAACACGTATAAAACTTTCTGCTGTATTGACAGAAAACAGTAAAAATAATACAGGCTGGTCCGAACTGTATTCCAGAAACTTCGGCAGCATATTCTGCAGATAAAAATAAGTAAAAAAGTTCGTATAAATGTATGTCCTAAAATGCTTATTTTCGGAGATACAAGGTGTAGAAGTTTTATTTTTATTTTGATTTGTTCCAAAAAATTTATGAAGTAACACAAATATTTGAATGAAAATTGGTGTCTGGAAGTTTTTTGGCATGAGAGATTTAGATGTCAATATGACTCCTACTTGTAGACGGCGCCACCTACATATTTTTTAAGTGGTTTGAAGAGTAATAACTTTTCGTCCGTACCTGTATAAAAGTAATGAGTAAAAAAAAATACATTTGCGACATTTTTTACGTCAAAAATGAAATTTGGTAAAAATCGCTACGAGTAATGTTTTTCGAGATATTTAGAATCGAAATTATCAATACCTGTCATCATTGATATAAATTATACAAGTTGGCCAAATAGTTATTAGAGTGAAAACATAAATTTGAAATGTTTTTGCCAAAAGTTCAACAGAAACTGCTTTATTATCATTTTTTCGCAGAAAAATTTATGATTAATTTAAAAAAATAAGAATTGCCAAAATTTATTTATTTCAGTGAAATAACTGTCTACTAAACGTGTCTATTTGTTGTCAATAATGATATGTATTGACTATTTCCATTCTAAATATCTTGAGAACGGTTGCCCGTAGCGATTTTTACCAAGAGACATTTTTTACGTAAAAAGTCACGGAAATGTATAGTTTTTTACTCAGTAGTTTTATACAGTTACGGACAAAAAGTTATTACACTTCAAATCAGTTAAAACGCTTGTAGATGGATTTCCCTACAAATAGTCATATTGACTTCAAAATCAAATTTCTCATGTCAAAAAACTCCTAGACACCAATTGTCATCGAAATATTGACGTTACTTCAGAAATTATTGGGAAAAAAATCGAAATAAATATGAAACTTCTACACCCTGTAATCTCCAAAACTAAGAACTTTAGGATATACATTTATACGAACTTTTCTACTTATTTTTATCTGCAGAATATACTGGCGTTTCCGGAATACAGTTCGGACCACCCTGTATACAGAGTGGTCCGGATTGTATCCGGATTGTATTCGTATTCGGTACGAGTAATGATTCTAAAGATATTTGGAATCGAAATAGTCAATTCATGTCATAATTACCAAAATTATACAGGTTGACTAGTCTGAAACAATAAATTCGAAATGTTTTTGTGTCTAAGATTTAACAGAAACTGTTTTATAGTATTTTTTAGCCGACCATACCAACAGGTATGGTAGGCTATTAAGATCGGCAAAAAAAAGTTTTTTTAATTTCACTCAAAATGAGTTATTTGGGTCATAAATGACCTAAATACAAAATATTTTCATGGTGTCTGTCTGTCTGTCCGTCTCTCTGTAACACGATAACTCAAAAACCGCTAAACCGATTTTAACCAAATTTGGTACAAAAATACTGTGGCACCCGAGAATCTGGCTATTAGTTTTTGGTGGGGGTGGAGGGTTGGTAAGGGGGTATGGGAGGGGGTTAAAAATTTTAAAAATCGTAACTCCAATATTACAGTAGCTAGCGAAACGCGGTTTTCAATTTAAGATTAGGAATAATATTTGCAACAAAATTTGTAATAACATCAAAATCAGTCAAAGTCGCAGTTTTTGAGATAAAAAAAATTGATTGAACTAAAAGAATTGCCTACCAACTTATTATTAACATATTTTTATTTTATTTTTTATGGGCGGCTATACGTGTCTCCCGGCGCCAGTTTTTTTTCTAGAAAAATTCATGATTAAGTTAAAAAAATAAAAAGTTCTCAATTTATAATTTTTTTATCATCTGGTCAACATATTTATTTTTTATCAATGACATACATGTATTAACTATTTCCATTCCAAATATCTTGAAAACGGTTGCTCGTAGCGATTTTTACCAAGAAACAGTATAAGTTTTTCCAAGAGACAGTATATATAAATTCCAGAAATGTATATTTTTCACTCAGTAGTTTTATACAGGTACAGACGAAAAGTTATTACTTTGCAAATTAGTTAAAAAACATGTAGAGGCACCACCAAAAGTAAGCTATGAGCGGAAAACTTAAATAGAAATCCTGAACAAATCGTTTTAAAATCCGCAATTATAAATTACAAAACGTCCATTAAAATTTGTTTTCCTTTCAAAATCCAATCTGCTGCATACCGAGCGAGATATGTGAGCCGTATAATTGAAAGTATTGACCAAACTCATCATCTTGAGAATAAAATTACTATTTGGCAATAGTTAATTACGAGCGCAAACAATAATCCTACAAAAAAGCGAACAAAACAGGAGATTGCTTTAGTTTTTTTCACAACTTTATGAATAATTAAAAAATAGTTAAGAAAGAAGTCAATGCCAAAGCAGTACGACGGTCAAAATTATTGTGCAGGATAATTATAGTCTGTCATAATCTCTGTACATAATTAACAGAGTAATAAGTTTTTCAAAAAAAAATGTATCAAAACAACCCTAATTTCTGCAATTTAAAATCCTAATTATTATACAGCATGACGCCTCTCATACGCAACAAGGACTCCAAAATGAGACTTAAGGAGCACATGTAGGTTATCTTTCAGCATTTTTTTAAAAATATACAGGGTGAGTCTTAAATAAGTGCAAATATTTTCAAGGCTGGTAGATCTCAATAAAAGAATCATATTATTTTCTCTTTAACGTTTTTCAAATAAGTCCAAAATAACCGTGATATTTTACTTTGAATATTTATAGATTTCTCACTTAAATTTTGAAAATCGCTGTATCTTTTCTGGGTGCTCTTTCTTGTAAATTTAATCTACTACCTAAAATAATCGCAAAACAATTTCTGCACGTGATCAACTTACTGTGACAAGCGATGGCGACACTGCTGCATGCCAGATTGTGATGGATTTATGAGATGAATCTTGTAACCAACAAATCAAAGTAAAATTGGAAAATAATATATTTATTATATAATTTTTTTAAGATTTTGACGTAAATGCTTAATTTAATAATTAATATTTTAGTAATTAATTGATTTATTAGTTTTATAGGTTATTTTACTTATTACATATTGACAAAAACTCCACTCAATTATGAACATTATTCTAAGCGGTGTAATGGATTATTTTCTTATTTATTGATGTACATCTTACAACACAAGTGGTAATAACAAGTAAGAGGATGCCATTAATGCACAAACTAATAATAACAGAATTTTCTAAAAACTAACGTAGAAATAACTTTGAAAGTGGTATAATGTGCTTACCAATCAACTTGCTTCTCTGACTGCAGTCTAGGATAATAAAGGACCTTTATTGTTACGTTCTCGTGCAAAATAGTTTATCAGGGAAGCACAAGCTCTTTGCTTCGACTGTTTGGTTTGGTTTGGTTTGGCATATTTTCAACACGCAATTTCAAGAAATGCAATACAAAAACTCAAAATTTTAGTTCTTAAAAAAACTATTTCTGCTTAAAAGTACAATTTTTAAAACAAGACAATGAAGATAGTAAAAAAGTGAGAATTACTCACAAAGATTCAAGAACAACACGATATTATACAAAATAATGACTGACATTATGTCAAATAATAAACGACAACTTTGCTGAACACGGAGCAATGTGACCAATATAGCGATAATAAAATTTGGTTTTAACTAATTTTTGCAGCTTTAATCTAAATAAATAAACTGTTACAATCATCTGCTCTATAAATTAAAATGAAGAGCTGCTCGGTATCTTAAATTATACAACAAATTTAAACATTTTTGCCAACATTTTATTTAGTCAGGTTTATAGGCTTTATGTCAATTTCGATATGATTGATGACATGTTTTGCCATTATCCTATATTACCATACTAGCGTGTACCCGTGACTTCGTTCACGTCGAATTAATTATTTGTAATGGTGATGATAAAGCAAAGCAAGAATTTCCATTAACATACAAACTGGATAAAATTTTCTCACATTTATGTCAGCATGAGAAAAAACAATACGGCGATATTATTATATCACTTGGTAATATTTGAGGAGTAGTTTCATCTCGTTGGAATTTGACTTTCGAAAAATCCGTTTCCCAAAAATAAGCTTTTTACGTCAAGCAGTTTAAGCAGAATCGTGGTTAATCAATTACCCAACTTTTTGGAACACCCTATATTTAAAAAAAAAATTCAAATTATGTAAAAAACAAAATAAATTGTGCGTGTTCAAGCGTTTTCCCGAAAGACTAACCGTTTTTTAAATAACAAATATTGTAATATTTGAGGGGCGTTTTCGCCCTCTTGGAATTTGAGATTCGAGAATCCCTTCCTTATCGAACATCTACACCCCACAGTCAATCCGTGTGCCAAAAATCATCTTTAAACGTCAAGCAGTTTAAGCAGAATCGTGATTACTCAATGGTCATATTTTATGAAACACCCTGTATAAATTTTTAAAAAATCTTAAAATATGTAAAGCAACAAAATAAAATATACGTGTTTAAGAGTTTTTCCGAAAAACTCACCGGTTTTTAAATAAAAATATTCTAATATTTGAAAGGTGGTTTCACCCCCTTAGAATTCGAGTTTCAAAAAATCCCTTCTTATCGAACCTCTACACCCTAAAGTCAATCCGTTTTCCAAAAATCAGCTTTTTACGTCACGCGCTCTAAGCAGGATCGTGATTAATCAATGACCAGATTTTTCGAAACACCCTGTATACATTTTTAAAAAATCTTAAAATATGTAAAAAAACAAAAGAAAATATACGTGTTTAAGCGTTTTTTCGGAAACTTGGCCATTTTTTTAATAAAAGATATTGTAATATTTGGGGGGTGGTTTCACCCCCTTGGAACTGGAATTTCGAAAAATCCCTTCTTATCGAACCTCTACACCCTAGAATCAACCTGTATGCCAAAATTGAGCTTCTTA